TGCCCCAACTCATTGCATACTCTGCATTTAACCGTTGGGCATCGCTTTCTAGTATGCCCTACTTGGCATTCACTACAGATGGGCTGTTTGTTGTTGTGTATGACCCTTCACCATTCCCCAGCTATTCTCAGCGAGTATGGAATGGATTTCTTCTCCAAAACCCTTTTGACTGATCTTTTTCCATTCACTAGACCAGCAAGGTCATGATCAGATTTATATTTGAGTCTTATGATTTTGCTTTTAAATTTTCCGTATCCACTTAGGACTTCCTTTACATCTTTATCCTCGATGTACGATGTTAGGTTCATGATGCTTACATTTGTGTCCAATAGATGGAGACGAATTAAACCACATAAACCCAGCACATGAGGACACAAAAACACCACACAAAAACGCCCAGATTAGGGCCATGCAAGCAAAACATCTGTGCAGTACACCAATGAATTAGACCCAGCACAAGAGGACACTAAATGAGGCAAAACCAAAACACGGATGAGATATTTACAGACAGACAACCATTGACAACAGAGGCAACAACACTGCAAGCTCCCCGTTGCCTATGGAAGTAGCGTTTGCGGCAAAGGGATTTAAAGCACTTGAAAAATTGTGGGATGTTGAACCTTGTGTGCACCTTAGCCTACACGATGACCTCCACAGTGCCAGGACGGATACCATGAAACCTGAAATCATTCCAGGAATGCCACATGAGAAACTTAAACAGATTGAGAAGGTACACAAAGACACAAGGTGTAACATGCAACTCATCCAAGTTGAAACCGAAAAGACCAGGACACATGGACACATGGGGGAGAAAGGAAACAGTAAAGATTGAAGCCATGAAAGAAGACTTTGAGCCAAAGGACAGGAAAAAAAAAAGGTGCTCCAAGGACTCCACAGGAGCCCCACAGAAACAAAGGAGAGGAACTGGCATTCCGAAAGACATAAGATGCTGAGCCATATAGAGGACACCATGCGCAATCTTCCAGCTCACATCGATCAATGAAAGTTTAGAACCAAGAAAATATTTGGTTAGGAAAAAGGATTTTGACTCACGATCATTGAGATTAAAGACAAGGGAGGCTAACTTAGGAGAATTGCTTTTGGTCTGAAAATTAAAAATGCCAAGACCACCTTTCCCAAGGGATTGGTGGCAGGTCATCTGGCTAACCATTTCAATGCGAGATCCGCAAAGGAAAGGCCAGACCAGATTGTTAACTTTTGAAATAACCCATTTAGGGACACACAAGTCGAGTGTCGGTCACCAATTGTCTGCATCGGTATCATGTCCAAAAACAACACCTAGAATTTTCATTTTCATCACCCACTTGAGGCCGAGTGGCTGGTCGCTGCATGAACGCCATACTCCCAGCCACATGGCCTCGGTTTTTGTGACATTGAGACAAGCTCCAGATCTGCCCTCATACACATTAATCATATTAAAGAAACACTGGAGGGAACAATAGGACTTGACAATACAGGTCATATCATCAGCATACACACTGACTTTATAACATAAACCTTGTGTGCCTGGAAGGAGAAAGCCCTTGATATCTGGATTATTTCGAATCTTACATGTGAGAGTTTCAACGCAGAGAATGTACAATGAGGGAGACAGGGAATTGACATTTAGAGGAGAAATTGGTCACCAGTTTTTCAAGTTTTTACGATCACCTTTTTTGAAGATGACGCACGTGTTACTTGTCTTCATAGACTCACACATCTCTCCAGCATGATAACAAACATTAAGGACACAGCATAGGTACAGACCTAGCCAATCCCAAAATTTTACATAAAATTCAACAGAAAGGCCGTCGGGGCCAGGTGCCTTATTGCTGTTCATTTTCTTTAACGCGAAGGTATTTCGTCAAGCATCATCCGGCCTTCGCAAGATGATGCTTGATCAGAAGAAAGTTGACACGACAATGAGGACAAAAGATCATCTGCAAAGCTGTGTCAATTGGCTCTTCAGAAAAGAGCTGCGAATAAAAATCAATGTACGCTTTTTCGATCCCCTCCGGGAAGGAGAGGTTTGAGATCTCTGAGCTTTAATTTTTTGCGGGTTAAAAAAGTACTCGCTGGGCCGTTCACCTTCTTCTATCCATTGCACGCGGCTAAGAATCATGATCCCTTTGATCTCTTTAATGCAAAGGGCTTTCAATCGACTTTCTGTGTCTGAGATTAAAACGGAGGTGGTGTCCTCCCCATCAACCAAACATCGACTGAGACGAATTAATTTATTCGTTAAAAATACTTGCTCTTTACGTTAACGTCTCCACTTGTTACGAGAGAAGACGATCTATTCCTCTTTCATGGACAGTTTCAAAAACTCCCACCAATCCTGAAGACTCGCGAAAGAAGGTAAAAAACACAAATGACAATCAATCAATTTTTCAATATAGGTACAAAATTCCTTATCTTTCAAAAGAGAATTATTAAAATTCCACACACATTGGCCTGAACGGTGAATGGAAAAGAACCACGAATAATTGCAGTTTACACCACGGTGTCCCTCCTCCTTACATATGCAACACAGCATCGCGAAGTGACAATCTCACGCCTCATGGCTGAACCAAACCGCAGATAATTGGGAATAGGTTTAGAGATACGGATGCGGTAATGTTGCAAACTGTTATAAACGTTGGGGGCGAGAGAATGCTTTCCACGTCAATAATGTAAGACCTCACAGAAAGCAGCTAAATGTTTAATAATACCAAGGTCAGATAACTCAAAAGGCACGTTATAAATGGTAAGGAAGGTGAGTGGCTTATCAATATCCTGGAGAGTGTAATTCTCGGAATTGACTTTAAACAAGTTCAAACGAA